TCACCACCCTCATGGATTTCTCTTAACTTATCCCACATTTCTTTTGCTGATTTACAGCCTTTCACTCTAATTGATTCATTTGAATCTAAGGCACTATAAAGAACATTCATGGCCTTGGCATTCAATGTGAGGTTAGTCCTGTCTTGAGCATTCATTTCAGCTCTCATTTTTGGCCGAAGCAGCCCTGTATCTGCATCAAGAAAGTTAGCTTCATGCGGTCCTTCACTCACAATAAACCATAGTTCAATATCAATAGATTGTAAAAAGATAATCATCCGTTCTTTCCAGCTAACATAGTTAGAGCCACTGAACATGGGAGGCCTAGTAACAGATTGTCCCTCAACAAACATAGCATGACTGGTTGTCATCTTTACTCCAAGCCGTTAGAGCTTAATCTCAAGGAGACCAAGCTCTGATACCAATTATAAGTCCCAAAGACAACCAAGAGGGGGGGGTGAATTGGGTTATTCAAAATCTTAATCAGATTTAGACAATTTTTGCTAAATGAAAATTTCCTTCTTTTCTAGTAATGATCAACCAAGTAGAGTAGAAGACAAGAGCTATATTGATCAGAAACACAAGTATAAACAAGCAATGAGAATTTTATTAAACAGAAAAGTAAATTTGGGGAATCAAACCAAGTGTCTACCAAACTATCCTCAAACTTGAAGACCACACACTAGGAAGAGCAACTTCTCTTTGATGGAAGACGATCAACTAGATGTACAATGGAGGGAGCACTTCTTCCTTGCCCCAAGCCTCACTTAGTCAAGCTAAGAAGTTTTACAATCACTCAGAAAACCCTCAACAAAGCTACACTAAAGATCCTTTCAATCACAAAAGAAATGCTCACCAGAAATTCACACCACTTTAAAACAAATCTAGCTTTGGAGACTATTTTCTAGCTAAAATATCTCCTGAGATCTTGTAAACAAAGTGTGCAAAAGTCTCTACTTCGTTCAGACCAGTTTGATTTTAAAGGGAACCAGAAATGGGCTTCATCAATGCTTCCAACGGATAGAAGGCAGCTGAAGAGTCAACTAGCCGTTGGGGCTGTCGGACGTCCGACGATCAAATCATCGTCCGAACCAATCGTCCGATGGCATCCTAGTTGACGTTCGGACGTCCGATGCGTCTTGATCGTCCGACACCGCAGCGTCCGATCGTAGGCAGAGAGTTGGCAAGTTAGCTTGGAATTTTTCGGACGTCCGATGCGGTTGATGAGCGTCCGATGGCAAGCGTCCGATCCTTCCGGACGTCCGATGCTTCCTCACGAGCGTCCGACAGAGCTTCCTTCTTGATGCTCTTTATCCTTTCGGACGTCCTACAGATTCCTTTCGGCCGTCCGACGTGAGTATTCTGTTTTTGCTTCTTCTTTTGGTTGAAATGCATTTCATGACCTATTCATACCTGATTCTTTGATATGTAAAGACACTTATAATCGAAGAAGGTTAGATACATTTCAAAATACTTTGTGATCATCAAAACCAAGAATAACACTTCTCTTGTCGACCGAGTACCATAAATAATTGTAATCGGTTCCCTGAGCGATAATATGTATCACACCGATTCGGGTGGGAGGTACCTCTCATATCGACTCAAAACCATAATCAAAGTATAAGTCGATTGGAGCGATGTCTCATTGACCACTTATTTCTCTGAGTGGTAGCATGTACCACACCAATTGGTGTGGGAGGTACCTCTCATGTAGACTCAGAACCATAAATAGAGTAAGAGAAGTTCTACAGAATTAAATACCTACCCGGTTGACGGAATGTCACCACGTGGAGGTATTGGATCGAACTTGGGCAAAACCATTGAAAATTAGCTCCTGAGAGCTCCTGTATCCTACTCAAGTGTGTTTAATTGTTAATCATGATTTATTTAAATGTTATCTTTACTCCTCATACAAGTGTTATTATTACATGAACTACGTGTTTGTATGCTTTTCTTTGCCTCACTGAGCGTTAACTCATCCCATTCCATTTGTTATTCCTTAACAGGAAAGTGACATGAAGGAAGTGATTGGAAGATACTAGTGAAGGCAAGTCTTTTGTGTAGTTTGGTATGTTGTAACTGATCTTTGGGAAAAATGTGAGATTTGGAACTCGATGTAATTGACTGAGATTTATATCCACGGATGTACTTGTGCAATGAAATATTATAGTCATGTTATTATTTTGACATATTTAGATGAAATCATTGGAATTGATCTGTTTTTCATTTGAGAATTGAAGTGAGTCCCGACGAGAGTTGGGCAGGCGGTCCGCCGAACCGTTTGATTCGCCTTAGGGGGAGGTGGAGTCGTCACACTATTACAACCTCATAAATCTTATATGTTGACTGAATTTTCATAAGAAATAAAGGTGAGAAACTATTTGCTTTTACCAAGATGCAGTATTGAATGGATTAGATGCAATTCAGGCACAAAGTAAAGAGATTTTCTGATGTGCAGTCTTTAGTTATTATTTATTTTAACCACCTAAAAATTCAAAATATTATCCACTCGTTTGGTCCTAAAGGATGAACTAACAAGAAAGAGTGATTCTTTTGCCTAAATGCTAATTTTAAATGAGGAAGAGATCTATTGCAATTTAGTCTTGTTTTGAGAAGTTCATCATGGAGTCTTTTACATAAGTTTAAGCATGACATTTTTTTTTGGCTTTTTTGTTCATTTAAAGAATGCCATTTCTATTGTAGTGCATGTGCTTAATGATACACCAATGCACATTGCATGTTAGCTTTTGATTATTTTCTTAATTTTGGGGAGCACACTTTTCTTGTTTTTGTTAAATAAATGGAAAGTCATCCAAACAAATTTTTTTCTAATTAAATAGCCTAAATTGGGCTAAATTTTTGTAATATCCTTGTGGAGATTGTCCAAGGGTCAAGTAATATACCTTAACATTTGTTGTTTTAAATTTGACTTTGATAAGTTAACACTTTACATGAGTAGCAATTGTTGCATCATTTTTCCAAATAAAGAAAGAAATTTTCGAGAAAAAATTCAAGTGCATGTTACATTTTGTCAAACCCCCTACTATCTTTTGGATTCTAATTACGTGATCATATATGCTCTTATGTGTTTACATGTGTTTATATGTTTTATTTTATTTATTTATTTTAAATTTCTATTCAATTTTTATGTGTGTTTAATCTAAATTTTGTAATTATTTGGAGAGTATTTAAATACCTCAAGATATAATAAATAGATAATATCTTTGCAAAAGTTGTAATTAGATAGACCAACGTAATAGATAGGATATATAGATTTATTTTATTATGTTTCCTCATTTTAAATTGTAGTTAGGTCCTCCATTGTAATAGATAGATTTTGTGTGTTTATATGTCTTATGTGTTTATGTGTTTTACTCGCTTTTTTCAGGATTTTGTATTTAAATATTATACTTATGTGTTACGTGTTTTATGTGCTGTTATGTGCTTACTTGTTTTAATTTATGTTTTATTTGTTTTATTATTTATTATAAATGCATAACATCACCATATTAGTCCAACGCTAGTTGTGACCCTTACTCACTTTCTTGCTAGTCTAACATTAGTGAGAATTTTTAGAAATGGACTAATCCAATGCTAGACCCTTAGGTTATCTACGTATTATATTCATTTTTGTGTGTCATTCATTGCATTTTCATGCATTTTTCCTATTTTAGGCAACTTTTCTCATTTGCATGAGGCATACCATTTAGATTCGCATTTCATTTAGAAAATTAAAAAAATAAATTAGTTAATTTGCTTGCTTATGTTAGAAGAGTCACTTTTCGAATATGAAAAATGGGCAATTGTAGATTTTTAGGCTAAATACTCCATTAATCCATATATAAGAAACAAAATCGAGTTTTTGTCTCCTCTATCCATTATATTGCATTTCTTTTTTTGACTACTTATAGCTATATATAAAGCCTAATTTTCCTCTCTTTGAGTTTCATTTTTGCATACTCATGATTCCTTTCAAAGAATTATTTTGGCATTCACAATCAATGTGATTAATATCGATAAGATTTTGAATGGATATTTTACATCTTTTCTATATTTTCTTTAAGTTTAGTTTTGCATCCATATAGGAAACATCTAAATGTGATAAGTTTAAGGGTTGGATTAGGAAATTTTTTTACTAAATCTCGCAATTAACTTAGACTAGGTTGAAAGAGAGTTTTAGATTTGAGCTGATCGAACCTTTGCCTTCCATTTTTTCAACCGTGACTCCCAAACTCATCTTCTCTTGTTTTCTAAGACCTAAAATTGTCAAAAAAGGTTTTATTTTATTTTATTTTTTGTCAAAAAATATTTTTGGGTGACTTGGTACACCTAAATTCAATACCAAGTGGCGATTCCTTTTTTAAAAAAATTCTTTTTAGACTAAAGTTTGAACCCAATCTATTGCATTCTTTAAAGTTTCATTTTAGTCACTTTTTCACTTACTAGGTTTTCAGCTTTGACGCCATGCATCAGGTAGCTGAGACTCATTATTTTGCTATTATGTTTGTGTGTTTTTTTTCTTTGTTAGATGTAGTAGTCATGTGTGTGAGTGTGTATTTTTTTCCTAATTGCACAGATAAATAAGACCTTGAAATTAGGTTATCTACCATTCTTAATGTAGCATTCATCAGTAAGTAATGACAAAAATTAGGTAGAATTATAAGGCATGGTTATCTAACTTTTTTAATGTACATTAATCATTAAATAATGCCTAAAATTAGGTAAAACTAAAAGGTATATGGCTATATATATAATATGTAGTCTTACTTATTAGTCACGTTACTTCTCTAAGATAAGCAATTTGACAATTTTCATTTTTTTTTGACAATTTCGGTTTGCTGGTACTTCATATTTAACAGTCTGATAGAAGAAAGAAAGAAAAAAAGACAATTATAAAATGGGTTTATCATTTTCTTTTGTTTGCTAGACTTTTTTTTTTTTCAAAAGAGGATTTTATTCAAGTTGAAACGTGCGGAAGAATACAAAACCCAGGCCCGGGCAACTTACGCTCTAACATAAGGAATCCCAAGGCTATCTAAACGTATGAAACGACAAACCCTACGTGGAAGTAACTCTTCACCGGTGTACACCTGGTCTTGGCCCAGCTGTAAAGAAGCTAGAGAATCTGCTACCATATTAGCTTGCCGATAGATGTGGCAAAGTGACGCCCCCAATTCTGTCACTAAGCCCCGTATATTCCTCAAAACGTTACATACCGGCCAGCGTGCCAAAGCTCCCGAATTGACCATCTGGACGAGCGTCCCAGAGTCGCTCTCTACCCTGATGTCAGTCATTTGTCTGTCGCGACATAGGGTTAACCCGGTCATCAATGCCAATGCCTCTGCGTGGACCACACCAACCTCCCCGAACTCCTTGTAAAATGCAAAGATCACCGTGCCCTCGCTCGACCGGACTACGCCGCCACCGAATGCCCCATATATTCCAACACTGGCATCTGTATTCAGTTTCAGATATGGCGCGGGGGGCCTGTCCCATGTTACAAGGAGCGGCTGCTTCACCGCCCCCGTTCCCTGAATCCCTCTAGCCCAAATACAATCCCTGTCGCCCCGAAATGACTGCCCCAACTTCCGTGCATGCCCTAGGAGTTCAATGAAATTGCCCACCTGCCATATAACATGGTCCGCATTCATCCTCACCCCCCTCGAACCTAGCCTGATTCCTCGCCCTCCAAATAAACCACAGGGACGCAATCGAAACTAATACCCGAACATGGTTCTCGCTCACCATCGGGTGGGATAAGAACCACGACATCAGCACAGAAGATACCCCATATACCCCCCTCCGCAAAAGCCCGAACTGGTGACCAAAGTGACCCCAAACGGTCGCAGCCACTGGATCGGTCACAAAAAGATGCTCCGCAGTTTCGCTCGCCCCTTCGCAGCAAGAGCACCTCGACCCCAACTTTACGCCCTTCCGCTACAACTGAACGTCTAAGGGAATCCATTTCCTCAACAACCGCCAAACAAAAAAGGACATCTTCTTCGGTAACATAGCGCTCCATATGTACCTACTCACCATAGAGGAATTCCCTTTCTAGCGCAGGCTTTCCACCGCCACTGAGACCGTGAAGTCCCCAGAGGCAGACCCCTCCCAGACCATTTGGTCCTTCAAATGTGGGAAAATTTGTTGCTGCCGTACCAGAGAAACATATGCCTCAGGCAGCCACTGTCTGAGACGTGCTACGTCCCAACCACCGCACAAATAAAGTTCGCCCACTAGCACAACTGGCATATTGGACGCGTCCAGAAGGTTCGCCTGTGGCAACTCGGTGCACCATCGATCCTGCCAAAAATCCACCAAGCCCTCTCCCAAACACCAAAGAATCCTCCCCTCTGCATACTCCCGGATTTCTGCCAGGCGCCGCCAGGAAAGGGGGGGCGATCGACATCAACCAATGCCGGGTGCCTGCCTCTAATATATTTGTAGTGCATGAATTCCGCCCATGCCGAGTCCTTCTTCCGCAGCTTCCACCACAGTTTGCAAGAGAAAGCCTTAATCATATCTTCAAATGACCGAAACCCCAAACTCCTTCTCCTACCGGGAAGCAAACTTTTTCCCAGGCTGCCCAGTGAACCCTCTGCTCCGTCGTGGAGTGGTCCCAGAGGAAAGCGTTGCAGATTCGTCCCAGAGCGATAGTGACCGCTTTAGGCGGCTGCACCACTTGGAGCAAATGCAGCGGAATCGAGCTCAGCACGTGGCGAATAAGAATTATCTTGCCCCCCCTGGATAGCAACTTGGAGCTCCAATGGAAAAGCCGCTGTCTCACTTTCGCTAGTAACCCATCAAAGGTCATGCAGCTAAGTCTGCCCTTCACCAACGGAACCCCCAGATATCTGAAAGGCAATCCGAGCTGACGGAAGCCGAGGATGGACTGCACCAACTGTATCTGTTCCATAGCCATCCCAGAGGCCGGGGTGAAAGAACTCTTCTCAACATTTACTTTCTGCCCCGACCACGTTTGGTACTGCCAGAAGAACTGCTTAATTGCCGCCAAAGCCTCCGCCGAACAATGCGTGAAGACTAGGATATCATCCGCGAACGCTAAGTACGGGACACGCGATCCCGCCGATGCAAAGAACCTACTCTCCTTTGCCAGGAATAAGTCGTGGATCCCTCGACCTAGAAATTAGGCCACAAATAAGAATAGGGTAGGTGACAAAGGGTCCCCTTGACGGACCCCCCGCGAGGACTTGAAGTACCCCGCTGGCTCACCGCTGACCAGCACTGAGAACCACGAATTGGAGAAAGTCCTGAAACACAAGTCAACCACCCGTTCATCCCATCCGAATTGTCGAAGCATGAAGAGCAAGAACGGCCACTCCACCCTATCGTACGTCTTTTCCATATCCAGTTTTAGAATTAGATTCGGCTCCTTCAGACGCCTGTCCAAATCCAGCACAAGCTCCTGAGCTAATAGAATATCGTCCGCAATACCCCGGCCCAGCACAAAACCCATCTGCCAAGGAGATATGACTGCCGGGAGCACTTTATTAATCCTGATCGCCAAAATCTTAGAGATGATTTTGGAGCTCACGTTGCAAAGGCTAATCGGTCTGAAGTCGCGCCATTGGCAGGCTCCCTCCACCTTGGGGATCAAGACTAGAAGGGAGCTCGACCAACCTCTTGGCTGGCCGACCCCTTTAAAAAAATCCTGAACCGCCTCCACAAGATCATCCTGTACAATCTTCCAGCAGATCTGGTAGAAGCCCACTCCAAAGCCATCCGGGCCCGGGGTGCTGTTCACCTCCATCGCGAAAACCGCCTCTCGGACTTCCTCCACTGTCGGTGCTGCCTTCAAATTATCATTGCAGGCACTGTCCACCTGAGGCACCTCAAAAGGAAGCGCTGGAAAACTTCCCCTGAAGGCCGAATCTGACGTAAACAGTCTGGCGAAGAAGTCCGTCGCCGAATCCTTAATATGTTGCCCCGTGTCGTACCAACGACCCTCCGCGTCCTTAATCCTAGCGATAAAGTTGGAGTTCCTTCGCTGACGGACCACCGAGTGAAAGAAGGAGGTGTTAGCATCACCTTCGCGAAGCCACTTAATTGCCGATTTTTGCCTCCAAAATTCACACTCGATTCCCAGCTCCCTAGTGTATACCTCTCTAGCCTCATTGAGCAAGGTCCTAGAGGTGTCGTCTCGATTCCTATCATATTCCTCCTCCCGTTGTCTGTAAACGTCCTCCGCCTCCTTAACTCTGGAAGCAATGTCACCAAACGTCTCTCAGCTCCACTGTCGCAGTCTATTCCTCACCTGTGTCAGATTGTTGAAGAACCGAGTCATGCCCACCCCCGAAACTTCCGTCCCCCATGTTTCACTAACCACCGCAAGAAAGCCAGGGTGACCGGCCCAAACATTCAGAAATCTGAAGAAAGCAAGGGAGGAAGCTCCCATTCGTGGGGTACATTTCACAAGTAACGGGGCGTGATCTGAGCGTCCCCTAGCTAGGTGGGAAACCCTAGACACCGGATACGCTTCCATCCACCTATCATTGGTCAAGGCCCGATCCAACCTCCACCATAACGATCCATTCGTCCAGGTAAATTTTGAGCCGTCAAAGTCCATTGCGGATAAACCACAGCGGAACATTGACTCATTAAATTCCTCCATATTCCGGACATTGGGGAGGGAACCCCCAGCCCGCTCCTCAGCTGAGGATATCACATTAAAATCGCCTATTACCATCCAGGGGAGATCCATCGTCCCCCCTAGTCCTTCCAGCGCCTCCCAGAGCGGCCGTCGTGCCACTCTGGTGCACTTGGCATAAACGAATGACACATATAAGGAGACGCCAGAGACAAATGACGTCATCACATGTACCACTTGTTCCGCACTTTCTGCACACTGCAGAGTTAACCACCTATCCCAGAGCAGCCAAATTTTCCTATTGATGAAACTTGCTGTGTTGTCGAATTTAAGCCTCCGTCTAACTATTTCCAATTGGCCTAATTCGGACATAGGTTCCAAAAGGGCCAGTAGACGGACCGAACTGTTGCTACAAATCCTTCCCAAATATCGAAGGGAGTCCGCGCGAGAGACTCCCCAAATGTTCCAACATACTATACTAATTGGATTTAACATTAGAACGCAGTGAGTAGGAAGCTTGAGTAGTATGTAGTACCTGTTTCTGGGATGTACCCTTGTGCGGGTGGCCCCGTCCCGTCCTGACGACATTCAGCGTGTCCCTTGCTGTCGCGTTCTCTCCACTTCTCTCACCTTGTGTTTCTGCACCCTTTGCTTGTAGAGCTTGCCACCTAAGGCGCAACTCATTGTGGGACTCCAAGAGTTGCTGTTTTGTGATACCCATCAGCACGAGGTTGTCCGTCGATAGCCTTCGCGGTAGACGTCTGCGAAGGTTCGGCGGGAAGTCCTATGGCGAGTCCGACATACTTTCGTCGTCGCCTTTCACCTCCAAGCTCTGGAGAGCCGCGAACCTGTTCTGTCCCACGATGTTGGTGGCTGCATCCGTCGCCTCCTGGTCATCACCAGAGCAAACCAGCTCAATGACCAACCCATCCCCTACCGTCTCCCCATCTTGCCACTGCAGGCGCATTGGCAGATCGCTTGGTCCACGCGCTTGGGGAGGTGGCTGCTCAAGGTCAGTCCCTGCGACTCTGAAGTCATGGCTTGGATCTCTGGGAGTCTCTGTCTCTGGCTCTACCGTCGGCACTCGTTCCATATCTCCACGTTCCTCCTGGCGTTGTGCCGCTAGCATGGGAGACACAGCCGTCTCCTCTACCACACCCATCAGCGCTCCGCTCTTCGCAACCACTGCAACTACACTGTTGGCTGTAGGAGATATCCCGCTGCTGCATCCCACCTGTGATGCCCCCGCTGCCGACTCTCCTTCCACGCCCTTCAGCAGTCTATCGTCTCCGTCACCGTTACTTCTAGCCGCTGCGTCTGCTGTCGCGTTACCACAGCCTACGTCTAATGGAGGTTTTGGCACATAAACCTGGTGCTGGGTTACACGCTGCGCATGGGTCACCTTCCTCACCGGACGCAGAGTTGGATTCTCCCTAAAGCAGGTCTCATCAGCGTGTCCAAATATGTTGCAGAATGAGCAATATTTTGACAAGTTTTCCATCTCCACCGGCTGACAAAAACCATACTGGTCCTCTCCAATCCATACTCTCTTCACCGGCGTAGCAGCAAGGTTGATTTCTACCAGGACCCGCGCCACCGATGTGCGTCGAAGGTCGCATGGTGCAGCGTCAACCCGGAGAGGTCGACCCAGCATTGCAGCGAGCCGCAGCAACTGGTTCTTTTGAAAGAACGGTAGAGGAAGATCCGGGAACGCCACCCACACCGGAGCCGCAGCCAGCTCCTGATTCGCTTTGAACTCAAGGGACCACTTGGAGATTGACATGGGTGAACTCCGAACGTACCAAATTCTCCGAGCGAATAACCGGGCGTAGTCCTCTTCCAATGTTGGGCGGAGCAGCACATGCTTCGGATCTAGGAGGCCGACCGCACAGTCCCCCTTGAGGCCGAGAGAGGTGATAAATCTTCTGATAATCTCCATGGAAGGCCTGGAGTATGAGAACCTACCCATGAGCGCGTTCTGGAACGGTTCTGAAAGCGTCGCAATCTCCTGTCTTGTTAGCCGGAGGGCAGGTTCTCCTCGGAAGGAAGAGATCTCGCCCAGCGCTGCCATACCAATTCCGGTTAATCCAGCCGATACCACTGCTGCGTAGGATTTGGGCGGTGGCGGCCCTCCCTCTGGGGGTTGCCCCATGCACGTCCGACGGCGAATACTGACCCAAGGTTCCCACGAAACTTTGGGCTAGGGTTCGCTTCGTTTTCTTGGCAAATAGGTACTTTTATCAATATTCAGCAAATAATTCTTTGCTAGACTTGAAAGAGCTTTCAAACATATTTAAAAATATTTTGGGACCAACGTAAAATTGAATTAATTTTTTTTGTATATTCAGTGGCTTTTTTCGTTTACATTAATAGGTCTGGATGCATGACATATAATTTTTATTCAACTCTATCCC